GCATTTCTTTGGATGGCCAGTGATGACGAGCATTTTTTCATGTGTCTGTTGGCTGATAAATGGTCTTTTTGAGAGTGTCTTTCACTATCCTTCACCCACTTTTTGATTGGGAGTGTTTGTTTTTTCCTTGTACATTTGTTTGAGTTCTTTGTAGATTCTGGATATTAGCCTTTGTCAGATGAGTAGATTGCAAAATTTTCGTCCCGATTGGCTAGGTATGGCCCTTGGTGCTGGGCTTCACTGTGATGGTAGTTTCTTTTGGCTGTGCAGAGCTCTGGTTAGTTTAATTACGTTTCTCCAATGTTCAATTCGGCTATTTGTTGCATTGCATTTTGGTGTTTTAGACTGATAGTCGCGTTGCCCCATGCCTAATGTCCTGAGTGGGTATTACCTAGGTTTTCCTCTAGGGTTTTTATGGATTTAGGGTCTACATTTAACGTCTCCTAATCCATTTCGAATTACATTTTTGTATAAAGTGTAACGGAAAGGATCCAATTTTAGCTTTCTACATAATGGTAGGCCAGTTTTCCAGCACTATTATTATTAACTAGGAATCCTTTTCCCCATTCTTGTTTTGTCCAGGTATTGTCAAGATCCAGTGGTTGTAGCATTGTGGTATTATTTCTGGAGGGCTCGGTTCAGTTCATTAGTCTATATTCTCCTGTTTTGGTACCAGTACCATGCTGTTTTGAGTTACTGTCAGCCTTAGTTAGTATGTTTTGAAAGTCAGGTAGCATAAATGCCTGCCAGGCTTTCATTCTTTTGGGCTTAGGATTGTCTTGGGCAATGCGGGCTCTTTTTTGGTTCCATATGAATACTTTAAGAGTTCTATCAATGTCTTATGTAAGTCATTGGTAAGCTTTAATGGATGGAATTGAATATATAAATTACCTTGGCGCAATATTGCATTTCACTACTATGATTTTTCCTATCCATGAGCATGGAATCACTTTCCATTTGTTATTCCTTCTTTTATTTGCAATTGAGCATGGTTTGTAGTTCTCCTTGAAGAGCGTGCTTCACATCCTTGTATTCGATTCCTACGGTAGTTTTATTCTCTTTGGAAGCAATGTTGAATGGGAGTTCATGCATGATTTGGCTCTCTGTTCTGTTATTGTGGTTGTTAGATGCTTGTGATTTTGCATTGATTTTGTATGCTGGACTTTGCCTGAAGTTGCTTATCGGCTTAGAGGAATTTGG